TTCAGTCATGCCAGTACAGACACACACCCAACTTTAAATTGAGTTTCTTAAGCACAAGTTTTCAGAAAAAGGGAGGAGCGGAAGGTACAGATAGAGAACTTTTCCTTTTGGCCTTGGTCGCTTTGCACAATGTGTTGATTGCTATTTTGTTATTCATGGAATTGCTTAAAAATTTAGATTGCCTGATAACTTATAAACTCCGATTCGCCGTCCCTTTTGTTTTCCGCTATTTGTGTTCGACTTGAAGTGATTCGAAGAATATAGGTGATTCCAGGAATGCGAACTTAAAAGATTTTTATTAAATTCTCTGACAGTCAGAAAAGCACGTTAAAGCAACCACAATAACCCAACAATTAACTGCGAAAAGGTCAACTGAAATAGCTTTATGAGAAACCTCAACCAACTGGGATGGGATTTTCACCTGTTGACTGCTCCCTTTGACCACTGGAGCGTGTGAGCATCGGAATCATCGAGGGCCAACAAAAAGTGTCGGATGGCAGAGGATATAGAAGAGCATCTGTGTTGGCTGCTCAACCAATTGCGGTCGAGAGTCATTGAACACTGCATAGACACACACTTTCAAGCACGAGTATATATTCCTCAAATCGATGTCAACGACTTTGAAGGTGGCACACGCATTGTACAGCAACACCATCACATTCACAATTTCCAGGGGATTCTACACAAAAGAAGAGGTTTGCTGAATATTTGCACCCAGCCAATCTATTTTGCATGAAATTCAAAAAGTTCGCCATCCAAGAATCCTCTTGTATGCAGTTTATGTTCTTTTCTCTTATATTGAAAAGATCCATTATATTAGCTAAAAATGTAGCCATGTTTGGCTATAATTAAAAATTTTAAACCGACCTTATCAAACTTAATTTATTTACCTATTAAGAGTGGAATTTCAATATAAGTTAATTGAATCCTTGTTTCCCGTTTAAAGATATTCAATCGGCAAATAAAATCCACTGATTGTCAAAGCCTTTTCCAAATAAAAACATTTTTATCGAGCTGATTGCTGCCATCCCCTTGGTAATTGATTCGATCCGCATTTGTGGTTTCAGATTCAGGCTTCCTGGCGGCATGCATTTCATATATGTGTTGTTTACAGGATTAAATGATTTAATACCCCAAACTGGAACGGAAAAATATTTAAATTAGCTTGGCTATCCATCTAGGTTTACATTGATTGAAAAGCTTAAAACAGAAAAATGAAACACTTATCCGTCGCTAAGCATGGCAATAAGCCCACTTCAAATGTATCAACGATGGCCAATACCAAAACTTTTTGGCTCGCATATGCGACCCATATCATCGTAAGCTCCTTCTGACCCGGACATAAATCGACCTTCATTCCGGTGACCAATTTCCCATTGCTTTGCGTGCTGCCCGGACATTCCGGCTAAAAGGTTCTTCAGGAGAGAGTTTCGGCCCATAAATAGTGGAGGTCGTTAGGAGTTAATTGGCCTTGAAAGCACGTCCCCTGGAATTATGAGTTACAAGCTGCATAAAACTTAAACGCTGCCATCATCTTGGTCAGCGCTTACAAATATTTGCCCACGTAATTGCTCCAATTTGCATGCTGAGTAGTTTCGGGCCATGGCTATTATAAAGCCAAAAACGACAACAAGTAAACAAGTCCACAAATTTTAATGGAAATTCCTGCTGATGAGTTTTTCACTGTCGTCTCTGTGGAAATTTGTCGTGAAAATGTGTATATTTTGTTAGATCATTAGATATGAATATTTATTTGGTATCTTTGGTTATTGCAGTTATTTTTCGTGTGAAACTGAAAAATTCCAGGGACCTGCAGTTGCAAAATTGTAAATGCCATTCGCAGTTTTGCATTCTCGCGAAAATTGCACTGGCGCTGCAGTTATGCAAATTCAACGCAAATGAGACTTTGTGTGCGAATATGTGTGTCTCTGTGTGTGTGCGCCAGTGCACGTGTGTGTATCTAGTCTCACATGCGTGAAATTAATTTCTCCCACGAGAGAACCAGGTGCTGTCAAATTAAAGGTAAGCCACCTTTTAGGTGAGCGTGTGTGTGTGTGTGCATGTGTGTTTGTGTATGGGGTCTCTGGGCGCGGTAAAGTATGCAACTGCAAAACAAAGTCTGTTTGCGAAAAATGAAAATTTTGGACTGACATGAAGCGTAATTTAGAGGTTGAATTTTGTTATGACAGTTTGTGTTCTCTTTAAAGAGTTTAAAGTCTCGTATCCAAAAAAAAACAAAATTACAAGGCCATGACTCCACTTTTTGCCGGCCTAACGACATGACATTATATTTCAAATATTAAATCACCGAACACCCAAAAAATCTGCATAAATTCCACACCCTCATCAGCAGCAACGAAATGCGTTGGACCCCTACATCGATTGATTATGGTCTAATCGGAAATGAGAAGCGCTTACTCAATGCCGAAATCATAATAAATCACCTCGAGTTGAGACAAAAAGTGGACCATTCAAAATGCAGGACCAGCGCCCCAATAAGTGGAGGGTTTCCCTGTGCGCTCCCCAAAAATTCACCCCTAGGTGTTTGTCGCTCAATCAAAGCTGACCCAGAGCCTAATGAGGCACTCGGTCCACCTCGCCCTGGGTTGCCATTTACAGGCAGATTATGAAATTAATGGCCTACAATTGAGCGAGCTACTTTGTCAAGGGAGAAGATTCGGGGATAACTTTGCCTTCATTTTTCATTTTTAATGCTCGCCACGGGCCAAGTTGGGTCCATGAATACGCGATTAGCTTGCACAAACTTTATTAAAAAATTCCGACAATCCGAGTCGAGCGGAGCTTTCAATTTCGCTGGGCGGACTAATTTAATGTCCCGCCAGCGAGAATGGCCACGTTGAAGGCTTTTAATTGCTCGGGCATAGCTCTTCATTGGCTGCCTTTGGCAGTGTCATAAAAGTTTTGTGGCAGCAGCTGGCAGCGGAAGTTGACGGGCTGTCCGCTTGGCTGCCTTCGTGGCTGATTCGATTGTGGCCCAGTCGAAGCGACAAAATTAAGTAAGTACGGCCAAGGAGTAGAGGTCACAAAGGCTGCAACCCCTCTTCTCGAGCCTTCTCCTGTTCATGTGGCCAAGTCCACCCACACACCGGTGGTCGTTAAACGGGCACAATGGCCACTTCGACTCCTGGCTGGAAGTGGGAAACAATGGTCCGTGTGCACTCGAAACAATAAAGGAAATGAAGCCAAAGTTAATTACTTATTGGAAAAATGTTTAAGAAAGGCATAAAAGGTTAAATCCTACTAAATCAAATCATTAAAGGAAACAAACCGAATTAATATTGCTTTAACAACTGAGAGAACTCTTTAAAATCGCTCTTCATTTAAGTACCTTTTTTCTCCCAGTGCATTAGTATTTATGTGCCTCCGACCGGGAGGATAGTGATGCATATTGAAAGCTGGCAAACACAATGAACAAAAGGTAAACTTCATTTGGCCAAGACAAGGAGTGGGAAAAACAGAGGAGAAGGAGGAAAAGAAGGATGAGGCGGTTGGTGGATGGTGGTTTGGGGGTGGGGCATCCGTTTCCGTCAACACTGGCACACAATGCCGTTTCCGGCCAAGTTGGCTTCCAGCCAGAGCAAAATTGGTTGGTGGATGGGAAAATGTGTTTGGCAGCTCGTTCGACTGCTTAGTGGCTAATTTGCAAATAGATGAAAATGCGCCACACAATTATAGCTTTGGCAGTAGATGTCGAAGTCGATGGGAGCTCTTCGGATTTAATTATAAATTTCTTCACCTCCAACTCGGGTAGGGCAAACCTTATTAGCTGCTTACCTTATTGTGCCTTTCTTGAAATATGTTTTCCCGGGTAGTTAATGCCAGGCAATCTAGTCGGGGAACCTAATTACATTAGCCGAGCAGCTGAGCGACAGGAGTTCGACAGGCTTGACCGCAAATCAAACACCCACAGACTTTCACACACAATCCGAGAACCATCCACTCAAAATCGCATAATTAATGCAAAGCACTTGCGGCTGACCGGAATGTTGCACATACGCCCCGTGGGCCACACGGAAAGTGTGTGGCCGAGCCATAATTTGCAATAAATATTGATCCACAGACATGACCTCTGCACTCCGAAGCGTCAACTGATAGATGGCTATTTCTGTTTGGTCTGGCCACAGCCACAGTTACAGTCACAATCATATCCACAGCCACTGCCACGAGCCATGCAATGATAATATTTATCTGTCACGATGACAGATTCGCTTGAAATTGATTGCCAGCTTGCGAGAGAGAAAAAATATAGAATTATTGAAAGCGTTTCCATGGTGGCCAAAGCTGTCGGGTATATTCTGCTTTGACTGGGCCCACTTTGTACACTTTACAGCCGGAATGGGTCACGCCCAAATCTCTTTAAGCCACACGCTTTCGGCCCCATAAATTGTGTTTCCCGGGCTTAGCTACAGTTTCAGCCCGTAAGTCAGAATCATTTGTCATAATTCGAGGAGACCCGAAATAAAACAAAAACCCAAGAAAAACACTGCCCCAAAAGTTGACCCAAACAACACCTTGGGCCATCGAAGTGGCCATTAAAAGTGCCAGCAACAAACAGGCAACAAAAACTTTGGGGATTGAAGGGGGGAGGGGCAAAAAACATTCGGTGGGGAGCACATGGGCAGCACTCGACACGAAAATCGACTGAAAAGCAATTATTTACACTTCGGCAATAAAAATATGGAACACAAAAAATGGAAAAGACAGGAGGCGTTAGTGGTGCTGTGTCAAAAATGCGTTGTGCAATTTATTACCTTTAATTTTTCTTGCCTGCCTTTCTGTCTTTCCCCCGAAAAGAAATTGCATTTCTGCCGATTGTGGATAATAATTTTTATGACCATTGCCTTCGCTTGTACTCGTACTCTTCGTTTCGTTTCAACTTTGAGCTGAGCCAGAGATTTCAGCGGAAAATCGAAAAAGTTTTTAAGAGCCTTCAATTCGCTTGTTAATTTTAATCCCTTGGCGTACTTCTTTCGTTGCAGAAGCCGCAGTGAAATGAACACCGAGGAATGTCCGCAATCGGTCATCCTGTGAGTCTCCTGCGAATCCTGTGTGAGTGCTGACTGCTCAGAGCTCGAAAATGGCGGTGTCCAGCTCAATTATGGAAACCGTCGCCACTTTGGCCCTGCTGTTTGGCCTTTTTATTCGAAATGGTGAGTGATTTTCAACGGAATTCGATTAAAGTAAATAAGTTGCAGTTAATTAATTAACTTCATTTATTTTATGCTTTTAAAATATATATATTTATATTCCATATGCCAGGTTACTGTATAGACTGTTTTAAGTGCGTATCATACAATGGAGCCAACAAAGCCTGCGACGATCCGTTCCACAACAACTACTCTACGGCAATTTTGGAGTCGCCGTGCATGGGCGGGCGAAAGGGGCGTGACGGATTATTTCCAGCCACCGCCTGCATAAAGATCGCCGGCTATTACGGTAAGAAGTTGTGCTCTGCCTTAAGGGATAATCCTCTTAAACGGATTTTGCGTTATTCATTCAAAGATGAAACCGGGGAGACGATAACGGTGAGGGGTTGTGCTTTAGACAGCGGAACTCTGACCACCGACACCGAGATTATAAGAATGTCGCACTGCGGAAAGTTCTATTACGACGACAAGTAAGATTATTTATTTAGTGTGTGAAGCTTTATCAAATTGGATTTTTACCAATATCCGCAGGTACGTACACGGCTGTCTGCAAAGTTGCAGTGATGCGGATGCCTGCAATTCGGCCAGAAGGCATCATGTGAATCCCGCGGATCTAGAGGCACTGATGAGGCTTCTCCTCAGCATCGCAGTATTCCTTATGGCTGCCATCAGGTAACATCACGGCTACTTTTACCTGGAATATCCGGAGCAGGAGAAACAGGCGGAAATATCCTGGGAAACGAAGTGAGGCAGCGGCGGGGCATTTAATTCGACTTGGCTGCGCGTGGAAATGTGGAAATCCTTTTCTTTTCCTTCGAATCTCTCTCTGTGTCTAGGATCGCACCCAAATGTAAAAGCACTCGAGCCGCTGCAGCAAGGACACGCTCAAAACAGTCACACACAATCACACTCTCACACATTATGGAATTCATCAAGCAATTATGTGATTTATAAGCGAATACTTAACAACTATCAAACAATAATTGATGAACTCGAAAGAAAACTATTTAGATGCTAAGCATTCGAGAGTGGAAAATCAAAGAAAACACTGCAACCTAAATTCAAATTCTAACTGCAATTATTTTTAGCTCCTAAGTAAGGATCCTAGATTTAAACGCTGTCGCTGCTAAGTTTCCACGGAACAATATTATTAGTGCATGGCAGAAATGGTTTACGATTAACATGCGATGTGTTTTACCTTGGCCTAAATAAGTATTTTTTACTTCTCTAGATGAGTACTGTACATATACGAAACCAATAGAAATATTTGTTAAAGGAATGCTGAATTTTGGGCAAATTATAAATAGTTATGTGTAAATGGATTAGTGGGTAATATTAGCAACGAAAACTGCGAGCGGCAAAGTGAAGTTAAACTTTATTAAGCTTTTAATTCTTTGGTCAAGAAAAACAACATTGTTTTTTGTTCACTATCAAACCACAAACAGATTACAAGCTTTTCTTGGAACTGACCAAGCTATTTTATAATCTTTTTTTGATCTTCTGAAGCTTTTCCTTTTTAACAAGAATTTGATTCAACTCTTAACTAGCGATTCCGGACTTGCCTAAGTCTTAAATCAAGTCATAAATGTCGATCATAAATGACACAATTCGTTGCTATTTAGACTTCTGTTTGTGGACGCCCAATTACTAACACATACCGCCAGTCTGCTGCGGTTGATTCACTGGCAGATTGGTTATCTCGCCCGGATAACCCGATAAGGTATCGGTACCACAATTGTCACCTAGCAGCCGCCAAGAAATACCGTCTTCGATTAGAACTGTTTAGTACACTCTAGCAGCTCAATCGATATGGACGGTAAGGCAAAGAACTCTCTTCCGGTTGGATCCGCCGACTAAGTGGAATAATTCCGATGTCCTCAGGTCACAATTGGCTTCACTTCAGCCACGGAGCAATCCCCCAGGCAGCCGTAGTTGCTGGCCACGATTCCGATGGCGACACCATCTTCATTGGCCGCGCCTTCTACTGCAACGACATGCTGCCGGCCAAGATTATCCCCAACAAGGGAAAGGCCTATGTGGCCTACGCCAACCAGGAGGTGGAGCTGGAGAACTACGAGGTGCTGAGTGGCTCCAACTACGAGTGGTTGCCGGCTGAGAACGGAGAGGTTCCTCCCGGAGCAGTCAAGGTTGGCCAGAATGTCGACGGAGAGACTCTGTACGCTGGAAGGGGTTACCATGCCGGCAGTTTGACCGTGGGCAAGGTGCACCCATCCCACGGCTGCCTGTACATTCCCTACGACTCCGAGGAAGTCAAGATCTTCGCCTACGAGGTGCTGTCGCGTCGCATGGAGGCGAGATAGGTGCTCCAGACCCCGTTACTGCTTGATAATCACAAATAAATTCGACACTTTTTATAGACGCTTTGTAATCTGTTGGCCATAAAACTCTGTTATCTCAGTAGTTATTTTTAATCATTACTGAAGTATTTATGAATTTAATAGTCAATAATAATAATATGGAATTTCCTGTAAGCTGTTAAAGCCTATTTTATTTTCTCCACTTAGTTTTTCCCTCGCAGTTTTCGTCCTTTGCCCTTTCATGCAGGAAAAGTTATAAGTTAACAAAACCAAATAATTACTTTTAAATGCCATTCATTAACAACTAAGTTCAAAACTCTCTAAATTACGCGTAGCCTAAATAGTTAATTGTAAAGTCTAACTAAATTTTCATATGGATATGGAGAACCAATAGGACCAAACTAAATAAAACTATATGCAAGGGTAGGAATCCGAGGCAATAGCATTTGATAAGGGCAAACCGAACTACTCGTGTTTGCATCGATTTTCAGTTAGAATTGTTCGTGTTTAGTATTTAGTTTAAATCTTTTTCGGACTAAGCGAGCTTGCAATGGTTTCCGCAAACGAAAAATCAACAACTATGTATAAACAAGTGGAGAAGTTTTGATAAAACGCAACGGTTTTTGATCGAAAGCAGACAGCCAACACGTCAAAATCAGATTATTCACATTTTCCTCTCTGCTGAACTCGCTTGCTTGCCACGCAACTAAACAAACTAATCCAAAAGCAAACAATTTAAACGCAAACAAAGTACGCACCTTATTGGCTATTGAGGGCCCATGGGGGCCACCGAATTCTTCAACTCAACATACTCTCACACACAATGAACGACCAAGCAAAGTTTGTAAAAATTAAACAAGAGTACATTAAACGTTTCATGGCAAGGCAATTGCCAAACATTTTTGAATGCAAATGTATCTAGCACTTAAGGAGAACTTTATACATATACAATTGAGGCGGCAGCGAGGTGGATTAACGATAATTAGATAAACTAGATAACGAAGCTACTTGAACTAATCAAATTGAATTGAAAATCGAAATTGTTTCTCTTGCATTTCAATGCGCGCGTACAACTTTTTCTAGTGCAACATTTTTGGACAACCGACGCATTACCAACTAAACTATCAGCATTTCTGAATAAAAAACTGCATACATATATTGAAAGTTCGATATCGTCTATGAGTTTAACTAACACTACACATATTTACAAAGGGAGGCTGTGGGTCGATTTAATCTATCAATGTCTTCACATAGGCGGCATCTTCCTGTACGAACTTCTCGGCTTGTTCAGCGGGCACTTCAACTTCGGTTTTGTAGTTGTCCAGGCCAATCTCATCCTCTTTTCTGAAAGAAAGAAAGAAGGGATGTATAAAAAAGGAATACTTTGGAAATTAATCGCATCACTAACTTGATCAGGATGTCCACCACGTTCTCGCAGGCCAGCAGGCAATCGCTGTCTTTTCCCACCTTGGCCTCCCACTTGTGATACTCCCGCAGAATCTCGTAGACACCCCTAGATCGCAGGATCTCTCGGCTGCGACGCGTGGAACACAATTGCAGAAGGCATTCCAGTAGCATTTTTCGCAGATCCGGATCCTCTTCGCGTGTTTTGGTTTCAGGGAGGTACTATAAAATCAGAGGTTTTAGAGATCTACAATCGATTAGTATTTACCACACACTCACCTGCAGTTCGATGGGCAGCAGTTCGTTGTCCTCGTCGCTGAATTCCTCCGGTCCGCAGAGAGGTTGTAAAATGGCCACCAGGATGCCGACCTGTTCGTCGAGGATTACGTCGTGGTAAACCACATCGAAGCAGACGTTCTTCAAGATGCCAATGGTTCCGCCACGTCGCACCACACTTCCTTCGAAGGAGGCGAAGGGCAGGAGTTTCTCTAGGAGTTGATACTTCCTGTGGCAACATAGTTCCCTGCCCTTTGGAACTTGGGTTAGATTGCAGAAAATAGGCGCCAGATAGTGCAGCTTGGCCTTCTTTTTGTTGTAGTCCAGCTGGGCAAAGGCCTTTGCCAGGCGGGGCAGTGTCTGATCCCCTCTTTCAAGAGTGTCCAGGATTTCATGGACCAGTGATTCCACGCGAGTTAGATTGCTTAAAACCATGCTCCAAGGATCCGCCAAATCGGATTGTTCGTCTGTTATATGTTTTGCAGCCACTTCCACGATGGCAAAGGCCTGGAAAGTCATAATTATTATTTATATAAGAACATAGGAATGTTAAAAACTCACTGGTTGCACTTGTTTTGCCAATTGGAAGACTTTAATTGCAGACTCCTCTTCAGCAGTTAAATTTATCAAACTCAACACCGCATCCTTGGCCACAGTTTGATTATCATCGTAGGTCAGTCCAAAAATTGCCATTAGCATTTCGTCCAGCGAAAGTATTGTTGATTTGCCCTCTGCACTGCCGGTTAAACCTGGAAAACAAGAAAATGTAAAGTAAATAAATAAAATGTGAGACTGCGTGACGTCACAATTGCCCATGGCAAACGCACGTGCAGCAAGTGGTTTTGGTTTATTTTTGAAACTCACCTAAGACGTGGGTTAATGCCACTGCCTTTAAGTCCAGTCGTTGATTGGGCTGCATAAATTGTACCAGCTCCTTTACAATCTCCATTTTTATTATTTTTTACAGATTTTACTTTAATTTTGCAGCGGAGTTTGTTTTCTTTCGATTTGGAGATGGAACTTTTTCTTAGAGATGGCAGAAGTTCATAGGAAGTCTTCGATAAAAGCGGTGTGTGTGCTCGCTAACAAGTGGCAAAAGCTGAATGCTTTGTGTTATTCAGCTTGTGACAATGAGCATTTAACTAACCCAGCAAACAAAAAGTACCATGAAAAACTTTTTGGGTTAATCCCCTTAATTTCTAAAATATTTACTTCCCTATATCTTTTTTTTTTTTACAAAATGTATCAATATGTATTTATTACTTAGTAAATTTACTTACTATACTTTTAAACCGAATTTTGTAGATGGTATTATAATTTTTAGCGGCTCACCAAAAACCAGAATGCCACTCGGGAGTGTCGTGTGATTGTCGATGGCTACGGTTCCTGCCCCTTCCACTTGTTACCTTTAAAATAAACTTCCTAACCTGGTGGATATCGGTGAAGATTCCGGGCAATCCGCCTCTTTTGCAGGCAGGACCCCAAGCCACAATTCCGCAGAGCTCCTGGCCAGAAGACACCGGACATCCGGGATCGAACATGCAGCCTGGGCTCTTTTTGAATTCCTTGGCGCAGGCGATCGTCTCGCCCAGGATAACTCTGCCGTAATTCGATTCGCAGTTCATTCGATTGAGCACGGTGATCCCTTCGGATCGTATATTTTCAGTAGGACCTCCACAGGCGACCACAGAAAGGCTGCTGTGGGAACTCAGAGGCTTGCTGCAGAGTTTCGCAAAATGATTGCCACGCAGTCGGTTGGTTAATTTCAGCACAGCCACATCCATGTAGGTTTCGGGCCAGCTCCACTCCTTCGAGACAAAAACGGCTTGGATTCCGGCAACGGAAGACTCCCCTGCAGATTCCTGATTATTCTGTTCCATTAGAAACTCAACGCTGAGTGATCTCAACATTGACTTGTGGGCATGCATACAATTCGAAGAAGTCAGCGCGTAAAGTGCACTGAAGTAGGAGGCTCCGCAAACAAACTCATCACCATTCATGATCCTCAGAAGCCATAAGTCCACATGTCCTCCCTCAGTCATCCGAATGCCATTATTATTCACCGTTCTCACAGGCGATCTGGCGTGCAAGTAATTAGCAGAGGAATTCCACCAATGAGAAGATGCAATTTTGATGTTTGCTAAGAGCAGCGGAATTAGCAGGATTTTTTGCAGAATTTTCATCACTGCAAGTGCTTCTTTTCGTTGCTTTAGAAGAACTTAGTATTTCACAGAGCAGGGAAATTAAAAAGGCATCACAAAGTTGTACAAATTGATTTTACGCTTATTTAGGAACGTAATTTAACTTGCATGGAGTAAATACATTTTTTGGCGGTCTTAATCGGTTGTGATTTAAAACAGAAAACATTTTTTATGAATGAAAATTGAAATAAAAATATTTTTTTTAGAATCCGTGTAGAGCGATAAAACTAGTTTACAATTCAGCACACCATTTCTTTGAGTGGGTCTTTAGTAGTTATCCTTTTTGCTTTTTTCGTTGTAGTGGTCGTTTCCTCTGTTGTTGATGTTGATGTTGATGTTGATGTTGATGTTGATGTTGCTGTTGATGTTGCTGTTGTGGTGGTGTTGTCCCCCGGTTCGTTCGTTTTATGTTTGGGAGCCCTGAGTATGTATCCTGATTCGATGGCCTCCTCTGTGTCCCTGATGAAACGTTTCACCCTTGCGATGTTGGTGAACATGCCTGGAATTGAGGTATCCTGGCACTTCGAACCGAAGGATACAATGCCACATAATTCTCTGTCGTGGACCATCGGACTGCCACCGTCGTAGAGGCACTGACTTTGTTTCTTGGGTTGTCTCACACACACCGAAGTGCTCGATAGCTTTGGACTCTTGAACTTTTTACGGCACTCCTTTGTTGATATGACACTGACCGTTGAGTTCCTGGCCTTCGGCCAGGCCTCCTCCACAGCCATGTCTTCGTATCCCCAGCCGAAGACCACCATCTGCATTTTGGGACTCACTTTCGCGGTGCAGAGCCTGATGAACTCGGTGAGACGACCCTTGATGGGCTTCTTGAGCCGCACGATGGCCACGTCCATGTAGAGTTTTTGAAAGATGAACCGCTCGGGGAACTGAATAGTGTCGACCTCAGCGTGGTTTTCCGTGTCGCACTTCGAGAATGCAGTTCCCTCGACGATCACGCCTTCCAAGGTGTTTCGGTAGGGATATATGCAGTTGGCCGAGGTAATAGCCAGCAGAGGAGAGTAGTAGGCTGCCCCACAGGCGAAGCTTCCATCACTGCTCATTATACGCAGAAGCCAGCCCCCGAAATTCGGTCCCGTATTCGATTCCACTCCGCCCCAAGCCCGGCGAAACTTGGGGGTCATTCGGATGATGTCTCTGGGGTAGATCTTTCCCCTGCCTTCAGGCAGCCAGCATCCCAGTAGAAAGCAGGCCAAAATCCAGCTCTTCGAGAATACCATTTCCGTTTAAGTGAAAGACTGGAACCAGTTGGTAGAACTTTTGTTGATTTACTAAGTGTGTGGAAAATTTCTTTATAATTAGTGTGAAAAACAATTTGGGTTTTTAAGCCGCCGAGCAAATGCACTTTCAAATAATTTCTATCTTTTATTTTATAAGCATATATAGCATACATAAGTCAGATCATCTGGTGTCTACTCCCCACTCAAATCAGAATTTTAACATAAAGAAGATTAAACCATGATAGAAACACCGCTGCACTTATGCTGTAAATAAAATTAATAAGAACGGTCATGCGAATTCTCCTCGCTTTGCCAGTCGATAGAAGCCAGCAAACTCCTATTTAGAAGCTGTAGAGCGATGACAAAGATTATGCTTTGGCAGCTGATGGTTTTGCAGTTGTGGCCCCATCCAACGTGGAGCAAGGTGTACCCACGCCCCATCACTAAAAGAACACCGCAGTTGAGGCGCTTGTGGGAAGGTATGGAATCTAACACGGGCACAAACTTTGGCGGGTGGCTGTTCATAGTCCACCACGCGGGGGAACTGCCAATCTGCGGAGCATCCTACTACGCCCCAATACTAATGATCGCCTCGGGGAACTGCATCGGTCCCCATCGCTACGATCTGGAGGGGACGAGTGTCGAGCCCACGTTCACCGACGAGAATATCTATGGAATGATCGACACGGTTTACACGCACCAAAAGTTCATTCAGGGCAAGTTGTTCATGGATGTGGCGCTCCTCCGACTTCAGTATCCCATCAGGGGTCTGACCACCGAGTTCATCAAGCTCTGCACCGTGTCTGTCATGGCAGGGATGAAAATGACGGCCTACGCCTGGGGCTTTGACTCCATGGACGTGTACAGGACAGGCCTGGACGCAAGGTCCGGAACCGTGATCGTCCAGAGAACGAGAGATTGCCTACGGAGGCTCAGGGACGCGCCCTTCAGACTCTCGAGCTCAAACTTCTGTGTGACCCTTTCGCGGGATCCCAGGAAGTGTCTCTACGATGGCGGAGCCCCACTCACCTTCGGCAACGAGCTCTGCGGCGTGGTCTCCTTCGGTCCACGTTGCAACAACCTCGAACATCCAGGGGTCTACACGGACATCAACAAGGTGTCTCCGTTTATCCGCAGTATTGAAAGGGAAATGCAGCCAGGTGGGATATTCGAGAGGAGCTACATAAGAAGGCCGTCAACAAGAAGGCCATCAACCAGAATGTCGACGAAAGATAAACCGAGATCTGAACAGACAAACGAGCGAAAGAAAAATCAAAACTTCAGTGAAGCGATTAAATCGAACCAATAATTGATCAAAAAATTGTATTCTGGAAACTTGGCCTTTTATGCGATAAAGTCTGATAAAGTATTGGGAACTATAAACAATGCATATCGAATGGAATTCGTGATATATATAAAGATATGATGATTTCGACTTAATAATAAACCAAAAGGTTTTATTCTTGACACTCATCAAGTCCCGTACACTTGATCGATTTGATATTTTAAGAAACCCCTGGGGAAACCGGAATACCACGAAACTGTAATACTTGTATTATTTTTAGGTTCAAGCCCCTCAGACGCCGGAGTGCGTAAGTGGTTGAAGTAAGTCAGAGATTCGCTGTGATGTCATTCGAAGGGGCAGTCATTGTCTCCTCCCGAATCGTGTTTTCGCACAATAAATTGGCAGCTTCAATGATTTTAAAATGCCGAACGAAGATGATTAACGAGCACTTTTAAAACGAAACTGATCAGGTTAACCTCAACTCAGAAGCACTCTCTCTCTTTTGGGAACTTTTCGATTTTCGTAATTGATTTCTTTTATGGGGTACCACATATTAATACGGTTCTCTGGGTGATGCAAAAACAGGTATGCACTTCACAGGGCTCAAAAGCGCTAATGTAGCACCATATAAATGAGTATTAATAAAGTCTGATTTATTTATGACCGTATCCCCACATGCTTAGAATCCTGGCTAAATCTGGTTCTGATCACACAAAAGCTGAGACCAATCGGTCAGAGGGCAGATTAACAATTTTTTATGTAACACCTCTTGACGTGAGTACTTCTAAATATTTATCAGACTTTATTTAGACACTCAAAAGTCAACTAAAGTTGCACTGAGAAAACAAAATAACATACAAATTAAACAATTTTAATAAAACTGCAAAATGTTTCATTCAGTATATTTAAAGTAATACGTAATCGAGACTCAATTTCAAAATATTTCGAAGCTGCTGATCGAAATCTTTTTTTGGCACATTATTTTTCCACTGCACAAACGAAAGCCCGTTGAAGCGGCGATGACATCACGGGCGGGTTTTCGGGATTTTCGGCCCACTTGCGCACTTGTCGTAATACCGCCTAGCGGTACTTTCGCTCTCAGCCAAAAATATCAGCCCACTTGGGGGAGGCTGGGCGGTATTATTTCGGGAACTGCGTAATTTGGGTTTCAAGTACAAAAACCGGACACTGAACCCGGTCGACGACGTCGCTCAGCGGACTTCCTGATCGTAGGGCTCGCTGGGATTCTTCCTCTTCCGGTTAATGGTGGATGCCCAGTGGATCACGTAGGCCCTGGACAGTGGGCTCCCCCGGGATCCAATCTTTACCTAGAATTGGCAACCAGACCACGAAGTTGCGGCTAAAAAGTGCGCACCCACCGGCGCGATTGTAATGCCCATCATGAGATGGAGCGGTTCGCACGCCCAGATCCAGCGACTTAGTCACATAGTCGCCTGGTACCCTCATAAACATAATGTGTTTTTTGCCGGCAGTACCTGGCCTGCATGCCAAATTAGGCTAAAGCGCGTGCGCAGCTCGCTTCTGACGTTACCCATTTGCCTATTAAGTCAACCCAAAAAACTCATAACCCTCCAAAGCCACAGGGGATATTTTGGTGGATTGTTTACTTTTAAAAATATAATGATTACATATTTATGTGGCAAGCTATAAAAAACAAAGAAACTGTGAAGCACAAAGTAAATGACATCATTTAATTTATTTGCCTTAAATACGCAAACATATCAATTGTTGAAGTGGACTTCTAGGAAAAGCGCTTTTATTGCTACATTATTAAATGGCAACTAAGTGCCTGTTATTGAAGTGGTCTCAAATTTATGTCCTCAAGGAAATTAATAAGCAGGAATATAGTTTTTTCTTCTATAGAAACCAAAATCAAACTTAAGTTTTTTTAGTGTTAAAATGTCTGCCAAAAATTACTCCGCTGTGTGCATACAAATCGCTTGTGATTTATTCAAATCATAAGCTCTGCTGTTTGATTTGATTTCAATTGGCAACAACTTCCCTCTGTACGCGGGATTTTTTCTTCTTATGTTTCTGCGAACGACAATAGTTTCTTAGTGAAACCAAAAACTCCCGCATTTTAAATGATTTCCATAGAAATAGGATTTTACATTTCGCCAACGGCATCAACAACAATAAAAGCAGCTTTTGCTTGCAGCAAAGTAAGCAATAATTCTTGCTTATCTTAGTGGGAGTTGGGTGGCGAGAACGAGCAGCATTTGATATCCTTGCTGCAGGCATTACTATTGTTCTGCAACTTTATTCCACAAAGGAAGAGAAAAAATAATGCGAAAAAAAGAGGAACTTTGTCTGTGGTAACCCGATATGGTTAGTGATCTCTCCAGCGGACATCTGTTGCTCTCGGGAGATACAGCAGATACGATGTGTAATTGACGCCTCAGGAAGCCAAAAAAACCTGCCATCCAGTGATCCCCAGGCAGACAGATCGGAAGCAGAGATGACGTTGATGTCGGCTGATGATGATCATAAGATCCGGAATTGGCGACATGACTCTGGGTTCATCGATCAGTGTAATGATCTTCCTTCGATCTTGAGTTACAGTGCATGGGGTTCGCTTAATGCTGTGATGTTTTCTTCCGCTCCCGTTCAATTTCCTCCTTTGAATTCCCTCCTGGGTGGCTTTCCCATTAAGAGCTAAGCTCCCAACTTTTCTACTTCAAAGTTCACCCATCAAAACTAATCAATTTCCTGTTGCAGGTGAATAACTCAACCGACTTGGCTGCCGGGTAATCCGATACTTTCATCTCCGCAGATGAGGTGCTTGACCCAGCATCGTTAGGATAAAAAGTACTTTTATGTAGCCTGAAATCGAAACTTTTATGAGATCCCGATGCTGTTGGCCAACTGACCTTTTTCAGCGGGCCCCCTTTTTTTTTTTGGGGGTCTCTAAAACCCCGATGCTAATGACCGCCGTGAACTCTGACATGCGATAGCCGATTGTGCCACAAACCGAGTTGCACTTTCCAGGGCCCCGCCAACCCAATTAAGCCCTGCGTTACCTAACCCACAAACCCACAAACCCCGGAGTCCCACTTTCCCACCCAAATACTCCCAAACGGGCGGAAGTTTCCGACGCTAGTCCACAAATACGTAGCTGCAACATCGAGCCAGTTGCAAGTCGACTCGAACGTGTCGCCAAGGGATTCTTGGGGGTTGAGGGTGGTTTCTAGGCGTTGTGTTTTGGTTCATTGTTGCGGTAGTCTTTACCAATTTGGGCGCGCCACGTGTAAAGGAAATGCGATAGTAAAAACACATCCAAGTGGCATTGAATGACACCAAGAGTCCTGGAACTCTTTGAACAAACTCCTTTGTCTTTTCCCAGAACTGCAGCCAAGAAATCAATGTGCCATCAATGGGTTTTGCTCGAACTTTGCCAAGTTTTCAACGGCAGAAAGTCCTTGAGGCTGGCGCAAGTTTCCACTTTCATTAGCATTTCCCGGCCGGGAAAACTTTCTGCCAGAGATACAAACAACAAGTGTCGAAAACTTACATCACAGCGAACGGGGAAACTGCCAAAAAGCAAGCCGTTTATGTTGTGTTTACCACCCAGCTTTCGGGTCAGCGGAAGGAGCTTGCAACTCGAACGTGTTTGCAGGAAGTTGGCCAGGCCAAGAGGCGAAAAAATGCGGCCGAAACGCAAACGAGACAGTTTCGCAACGAACTCTGAACGCAGCAGTCCAGGTCCATAAACTCGCTCCGAAACTGGGAGCCCGAGTCCCGAATCTCGAATCTCGAACCTCGAACCTCGATTATCGAGTCCCGAGGCGTCTTCATGGCAACCAGGCCAGCTGAACAGGAGGGGCTGGCCGAAAGGAAGGGAGTGCGAGGGGAGGGGATGTCCTCGTTCCAGGACTTCGGTTCGATCCGATGCGATTCGGCTGCGTTTTCGGTTCGGTTTCGGCTTTCGACGTCCTGCACTCGCTGCTGCCAGAGTTTTGAAGTTCGCGCTGGCCAAGTTTCGAATCAGTTGCCGCCGACTTGTTGTCTCATTTGCATATGAATCGATCAGTGCGTCAGTTAATAACATCGGTTCACCAGAGAAATACATCTCAATTAACTAACGATCAATTAGGAGAGTGCGGTTTGCCAAGTGATTTACCAAACAATTCTGCTTCACAACTGAGTGAGTAAATTTTGCTTTGCTGAATGCAACTATTCTGCATTTTACCTGTTAGCTGGAAACTTTGTGTGGAATTATTTATCGCGGCTGTCGAAAGTTTTGTGCTGCGGCAAATTAAATTTGCTCTGAAAAACTGTGCCAGCTGGTCGCCCCAGGAATTTGCAGAGTTGTATTTTTGTGTCAAGTTTAATTTGTGAAAAGTTTACTATGCATACTAAGCAGGCGGGATTTGTGTTTGCTCATTAATTAAAATTGGCTTTGTGATTCCGTTTGAGTGAGTGAACCAGCCTTGCATTGAATCATAATACCAGGCGATCAATAATATTTTTATATTTAACTGTGAATAGTGACTTACCTGAAAAAAAAAATAAAATAAATAAAATTCAGAGCTTGGGGTGAACTAATTGGAAGAGACAATAAGTAAACGTTTCAGCAAATCAATTTGTCACTCAACTTCTTTAAATCGTTAAAAATGTATCAAAACCACGTATTGCTTTGACTTAGCTAATGCGTTTCCCCGGTAATCACTATTTTATTCATGTCAATTGCTTGCATTACAATTTTAACGAGTTCAATTACCACACTGCAAGAATTGCTCAGCTGATAATCCGATATACTTGCATTAAGCCGCCTGGAAGGCAGACAATCCGCTTAAGCAGATTTATTTGCCGGATTCCGCGGAATTCCCTTTACACGCGAAACTGTCGCTGATTTGATTACCAAAGAGCAGAAGGAGCCAATGAGATGAAAGTGACTCCACGAGCACAGGAAGACATGAAATTTTAATTTAACTTACTGCCTTCTACGCATTCCGAAGCGTGTGTTCCCCTTCTTTTGATGGGCCAAAGGACAAACATCAGCGCTACGTGCTGGGGCATCAAACTAAAAATAAGGACAGTGCAATTTTATAGCGCCATTGTGGGTAATTTGACTGATTCGCCAGGATCAGCAAAGCCAGACAACATTTTTTTTATTGTTATTCTTGTTGCTTACTTTCAATTAGGCGCTCGCACGAGCCGAGAAAATGGGGAGTCCTCTCTCCTGGAAAGTCCTTTGCCTTCGTCCTTCCGTGTGTGTGTGTGTCTGTATTTAATTGTACATTACGTATACGCCACATTTGACGCATTGTGGCTGCTGTTCTGTGGCTTGTATATTTTAATTA